AAAGAAAGAAAGAAACCGTAGCTTTTTTTATTTTTTTAGTATTTTAGGGAAGGGTCTACCGGGTGTTCAGGTTCTCACTACTAGATTGGACTCTAATGATCCGCCCTTTTACAGTTTCCCAAGAGCTGGGATTACAGGCATGCGCCACCATACCCAGTGTCTCAACAGCAAAGTCTCAGTGCACCCTGGGTGCAGGACCAGCACAGCAGGCCCAGAGATCGAACCCCTGGCCGCTTTAATCCACTGAACTATTTGGCTGGCCCCCAAGACCCTATCTCAAAAAGATGAAAGGGGGGGAAAAAAGCTATAAGAGCTCCCTCCATTCTCTCCTCCTTGGAGTCCTAGTTTCCTGCTGGTAAACTTGAAGAAACTAAAGACTTTCTAAAATCTCCTTCTTAAGCCAGGATATAGCTCAGCAGCACAGTGCCTGCCTAGCAAATGCAGTCCTGAGTTCAATTCCTGGTACACCAAAGTGGGGAAAAATATCCTTCCAGCTGGACACACCTATAATCCCAGCACTCAAGAGGCTAAGGAATGAGTAAACCAAGAGTTTCAGGCCAGCGTGAGCTACATAGTGAGTTCAAATCTAGCCTGAAGGGGCTGGGGAGATAGCTCAGTAGAATAAGTGCTTGCCTGGCAAGTGAAGAGTCCCAAGTTCAAAGGAAAAAAAAAAAGTCCTCTTCCAGAATGAACTGGAGAATGAGGTTTGTTTTTTTGGTGAACTGGGGATTGAACTCAGGATCTTGCACTTGCCAGGCAAGCACTTATTCTACTGAGCTATCTCCCCAGCCTGAGAATGAGGTTTTAAAACTGGGTCCTGAGCTAGGGAGATAGCTCAGCAGTCTGAGCACCTGCCTGGCAAGTGCAAGGACTCCGATTCAATCTCTAGTACTATACGCTATATTGGTCCCAGAACTCCAGATATGCTGTACCAGGCACTGAAACTGGGCATGGTGGCACACACCTGTAATCCCAACACTGGGGAGGCTGAGACAGGAAGATCACTATGATTCCAAGCTGTATAGTGAAACCCTGTACCAAATAAATGAGTAAGAATAAAAAATATAAGGAATTGGGAGTATACAAATGCACACAATCACTGGGAAATTTTTTTTCTTTTGGTGGAACTGGGAATTGAACTCAGGCCCTTGCACTTGCCAGGCAAGTGGTTACTCTACTGAGCCATCTCCCTGGCCCCTCACCAGGCAATTTTCTCTAAGAGCAAAAGCTTCAATAATAGAGAATGCTTGCTTGCCTTTGTTAACAGAACCAAATTTGGGACTGCAACTGTCCTCGCCAAGCAATGTAAACAGAGACTGGGAAGAACCCTTACAGGGGCATAGAGAACAGTGCTTTTCTTGCTCTTTCCTCTCCCACACTGCCCATAATGCAGCTGCATTTGTGTCTGAGCTCTAGCAGCTCCAGGTGGAGTTGCCCCAAACTAAAGAAGCTAAAATGTAGAGCCTGCCTGCCTCTCCACTTGGGTAAGTGCAACAATCAACAGCTCTTATTTGGGAGTTTCCTCTTACATATCCCAGCACAGAGGCTTACCAAGACTTGAATGATAAAGACAGGCTAGCAGGGCAGAGCCTGGTAAACAAAGAAAACAACTCCACCTCTATGCAAGAGCATGGAAAACAGACAAATGATAGGGAAGTACCTCAAATTCTAAGAAAAGTCTCCAGTTCTCTTCCCACTTACGGACACCTTCAAAGAGCTCCTTGTGAACTTGATAGTAGTTTTTTAATTGTACAATCTCAGCATCATGCAACTGCAGCAGGCTTTCTGTGTAGTCCTCTGAAACATACAGGACCAGTAGTTCCATAAAACATCCTCCAGTATATTCTATCCCAATTTAGTAAGACCACACCCCCTAAAATGGAGTTAAGATTGTTCTTCCTTACAATAAAATGATATAGGAATGTTTATGTACTGTGGCTAATAAAAAATGGAAGCCAGGCTTATCAAGATCAGCCCAAGAGGGGCCGGGGAGACAGCTCAGTATAGTAAGTGTTTCCCTGGCAAGTGCCAGGGCCTGAGTTCAATCCCCAGTTCTGCCTCCCCCACCAAAAAAAATAAAAATAAAAAAAGATCAGCCCAGGGGTACTAAGGGACGGACTAGGACTCAGATTAAAAAAATATTCTCTAAGATCTGTCATCTTTTACCTTGTTTTAGGATTATTTCATGATTCCTTATAGCTTTGCCCATCCAACAGAGGTTGGATTATGGGAAATATCTAAAGACATTCATTGACTTTAGTTAGGATAGCTTTACTTTTCCGTTCAGGCCAGGCTAGAATTCCAGCGGGCTCAAGTGTAAGATCAGGCACTTCCTTGCGTAAGGCTCTGGATTAAACTGCTCAACAGGGCTTGGGAAATAGCTCAGTGGTCTAAACACCTGCCTAGGGCTGGGGACATAGCTCAGTAGAATAAGCGCTTGCCTAGCAAGTGCAAGGTCCCGAGTTCAATCCCCAGTACTGAGAAAAAAAAAAAAAAAAAATTAAACACCTGCCTGGCATCCCACAGCTCTGAAGCCCCAGGTGTGCCATGCTGGCCCTGAAACCAGGCACGGCAACACAAGCCTGTAATCCCAGCGCTTGGGAGGCTAAAACAGGAGGACCACTATGAGTCTGAGCTGCATAGTGAGACCATGTACCAAATTAAAACAAACAAATTGTTCAACATGTTTGCCTTAGTGTCCTCATCTTCCAATAAGAATAACTGAGATAATATTAAGGGTTGTTACAGTGTCTTGGTTGGGTGAATCTATTCATAAGAGGAAATACAGAATTTCCTAGAAGTGTCCAGACACTTGAGAGCAGACCACATGAAGACCACCACTTCTGTACTAACCAGCATAGTAGGGAGCAAAAGCTTGTCTTTGCTCCTGGCTATAAAAACACAGGTCCCAGTACTGAGCCAGCTCCATTCGAATTGCCTCAATTACTTTCTTCATGTTTTGCATTTTTAATTCTTCCAGTCGATCTGCTTCTAATTGTAGCTAAAAGAAAGACATTTATAAGTGGTTATTATGTACACATTTTCAGTAGTACTGGGGATTGAACCCAGGACCTCTGTGTTGATCTACATTCCCAGGCCTCTTTAATTCGTGTGTTTGTGTGTGTATGTTGGGGATAGGAAGAGTTGACACAGGGTCTTACTCTGTAGTTCAGGTCGCCAATGCTGGCCTTGAACTTGTGCGATCAAGAACTATAGGCATGTGCCATTATGCCCAACTTTTTTATTTTTTATTTTTTGTATTTAGGACAGGGCATACAGGGTCTCACTGCATAGATCGGACTTGTAGTGATCCATCTGTTTATAGCCTCCCGTCCCGAGTGCTAGGATTACAGGTGCGCCACCACACCTAGTCTCAATTGCTGTCTCAGCATGCCCCAGGGGTGGGGCCAGCACTGCAGGCCTGGGGATTGAGCACCCTGCCCCTGCTTGCCCGCCCTTTATTCTGCTGAATTATTTGGCTGGCCCTCTGCTTTTTGATTTTGAGATAAAGTCTCTCAAAGTCACTAAGCTGCGGAGGCTGGGCTCAAACTTGTGATTCTTCTCCCTTAGCCTCCTGAGCAACTGGGATTCTAGGCATGAGCCAACCTTGCCTGACTGCAGTGGTTTTTTTTCCTTTTTGGTGGTTATTTGGAATTGAACTTAGAGCCTGTCCTTGGAGCTACATCCCCAACACTTCTCCCCTTTTTGAGACATAGTTTGACTAAGTGACTAAGCTGCGCAGGCTGGCCTTGAGCTTGCAGTTTTCCTGCCTCAGTCTCCAGGGTACGGGAATTACAGGTCCCACCATACCTGGCTCTGATGCACATATTTAAGAACAGGCAGGCCTGGAGAAGCAGCTGGTAAAGACATCAGACTAGACCTAGAAATATTCGCGCAGCATTGCTGGTCTAGCGGTCACTGGGCTTTCTTACCGCTTTCCTGACTTTGGCATTAGACCCACTTTGACTCATGGCCGCAGCTTCTCTTTCTTCTTCAGGTATTTGCAGCCTGTCCCAGAGCTCTCGGATCTGAGCACGCAGCCCCTCACACACTGCTTCATTTTGTGATTTTCTCATTTCCAGCTATGAAAGGAAAGGGAGCAGTTATAGCAAAACAGCACAGAAAAGGCTTGCCCTATGGCCCCCAGCAAGAAACATCTAGATCTACATTTAGAAGGAACATTTTCAGGGGAGACTTTCAAGAGGCCTCCTGTCATGTCTTTTGGAAACAAGCTTTAAGGTTGTCATTACAGATTTCAGATCTCAGGAACAGGATTTGAATTTTGCATTGAAGTATTTTTTCAATTAAAAATTAAGCTAGGCCAAGTATGGTGGTATATACCTGTATTCCTAGCACTTGGGAGGCTGAGACAGGAGGATCACTGTTAAGTTTGAGCCCAGCCTGAACTGTATCATGAAATCTTTACATTTATTTATTTATTTATTTTGCAGTACTGAGGACTGCATCACAAAATCTTGTCTCAAAAATAAGAAAAAACACTAAACTAATTCAAATGGCTGTTATTTCATCTAAAATTTCAATTCTTTTTAGAATATTAAATTTAAATTTATTTACATTTTTTTCATTTTTTTCCCATAATTTTATTGAGAAACAAATAGCAATGAGACAGTTTCAAACCAAATTGGTAGGACAGTTTCAATAATTAACACATTGCATACATTCTTCC